CTCTGGGCCTGGGCGCTGTCCCTCAGCTCTTCAGCTCAAGGCTAGCGCTCTACCACTTGAGCCACAGCGCCACTTCCGGCTTTTTTCTTTTTGCGTATGTGGTGCTGAGGAATCGAACCCAGGTTCTCAGGCATGCAAGGCAAGCGCTCTACCACTGAGCCACCTTCCCAGCCCTGCTCTACCTCTTGAGTCACATTTCCAGTTCTTTTTTTGCCGTAGATTATTTTCCAGATAAGATCTCCCACTTTTCACCTGATTTGGGCCTCAGATCATGACTCTCTTATTTATGCCTCACTCTGATACTCTATGTCTGAAAGATAAAGACAGAACTTCAATTAAACCTCCCCTCCAGTTCTGAGGCTGTTAGGCAGCTCCTCTGGACCCTGCCCTGGCTCTATAGAGGCTTCTTAGCCAGGATGATCTGTCCCTCTTCCTCCAGTTGAGCTGGAGACCCTTCAGGGAGGAGGGAGCCAGGCTGGCCCCAGCCCCCTCCTTCACAGGCTCTGATGGATGGGGTCCTGTCTCTTCCTGGAACTTTTGTAGCTCCCAGGAGCCACCTCCTGCATACTCATGCCCAAGGGAACTCACAGAAGCCCACTGCCTCTGACAAAACTGATGCTGCATTTGAGGAGGGTGCACATTGTGTCTCAATGAGTTTTGAGTCAGAGGACAAAGTTCCCTTCACCGATGTCCCTCCTCTGAGCCCAGGCAGGGAGCCTCTGGGCCACCAAAGAGCACCATCACACAAGTAGCTTAGCCAAGCACCTCACTACTCATTCCCACTGCACTCACGACTTGCGAGGACCCAGGGCCCTACGCCCCATGCCCTACCCTGCCCTGGGGATGAACCTGGACCCCACACAAACTTCAAGTTTTAGCCAAAGTTGTAGCTGTACATGTGGTAGGCATGTACCACTATGACTAGCTTGTTTGTTTGAGATGCAGTCTTAACAACTTTCTACCAGGTGAAGTAATCTCTCCATTTTAGTTGGTATTGCAGGTGAGCCACTGATAGTTTTTATAGTTTTTGTACTTTCCACTATGAATATTATGAGGACACAGTTTTAGGCTACCATGCATATAAAATGAACTAGAAACAGCAGGCAGAGGAAGAGTCATTATATTTTAACAAAGTTCCAAAACATATCAGATTTTAGGGCACTGAAATGTGGGAATCTAGCTCCGAAAGGGAAGACAAAAATATATTTTCCACTAGATGGCGTCCTTCAATATTGGAATTAAACTTTGCGACTTGTTTTTGTGATTGCAAAGATTTACTTTGATTTTGCTAGTTGTCTCCCTAATTTGATGACATCCCCCTTAGGAATAAACATCACAAATGCATTATTAATACATGGAACTGATGAATCCCTAGAAGCCATAGTTCAATAGATAAATGGACAGGGCCTCACTTTTATGCCTGGGTTGGTATGACCTGCAGTCCTTCACTTGTGCTTCCCTGTGTTGCTGGGGATGACTGGCACCACTGTGCCCAGTCAATATGCATCCCCTGCAGCTGGGACAACAGGCGTGAGCCACCTTACCAAACAGTAATTGAGATGGCATCGGGAAACTGTTCTGCTTAGACTGGCTTCAAATCTTGATCCTCTGATCTCTGCCTTCCATGTAGCTGGGATAATGGGTTAAAACCTGGGAGCCCAGTTGAAATTTCTTATCATCATCTTAAGTGGGGTAAACAGCACAGGATAAAGGCATAAAAATCCAGGTTTACATTGTAGTATTTTATGTGTTCATTTAATGTTTACTGAATTCATACTGCATCTTATGCACGCAAAGAAGGGAGTAAAGTTTGTACTTAAGGAAGGATTGTGGGAGTGTAGTTATGCCCATGGAGAGACACCTGAGCCGGGATAGTTGGGGTAAGGTGACAGGGGAATCAGAAAAGACTAAGAGTAAGCCAGGTTCAGGAGCTGGGTCAGAACCAGAAAATAAGGCTGAAATGCACTAGAACAGCAAGGAATTGAATCAACTGTACCAGAATGTACAGAGCTGCATTCCTTCCATCCTTCCATCCTTGTCCCTTCTCTTCTGGATGTCAGATGAGACGCACTGTCCCTGTTGGAGTAGTTAGATCTCAAAACAGACCATGTGAGCTTTTGTAAGCCTCTGACTGAAAGAATCCCTAAGAAAGGGCCATACAGAGCAAACATCCATGTTACAACACCCCTGGATTATAAGGCCAAGTCAGACCGTTGGTCTCCAGACTTGAGTGATAGTACTAAAACAGGATAATGG